CTCCACTGGCTGGGAAACTTCGAGGAATATTTTCGGCTGTACTTTTAATTAAAATGGCCACATTATTTAAATTAATGAGTGTATTTTTTATAACTTTTATTTTTATTCATTAGCAATTAGGCGAGATTGGGCCTAAAATTGAAAAGAATAAATAACATTTTTGAAGAAAATCAAAGTTGGGAAACAATTCGAGTACTTACTTATATTGAAGTATTTCACAACTCGCCTACGGACAAACTGGAAAAAGAACAATGAGAAGAATGTTTGTAGTTACAAACCGATAGACGGGCTCTAATGAGAAAAAACTAATTTCTTGAAGGGAGTTCGAGTCGAAAGTTTCGCACAAAATTGTCGGGCGGGACAAAATCTAATCACAAAGGTGGAATTAAAAGTGTAATTATATAAAAGAAAGAGAACTAGCTTTAGTTAAGTTTGTACGGAGACTTAATTACGTTTTTGTGTTAAAGGTTAATTGAAAAACAGTTTGCGAGCTAAAAATCGCTTTCAACTAAACGGCGCTGGCTAGTTATTTATTCGTCGAGAACCTTTTTAAGGATTAGCCTAGTGGAATAGCCCGCAGCGACCGACAAGCGTATCTTATTTAAACTTCGTTCGATCAACAGCTCCGCATCCTCGCCACGTTTCCCACTTATTTGTAATTATTATTTTCATAAAATTTAGAAGATGTATTGTCTTTAAAAGTCTATATAGGTACTGTTTCTCGGGACAACTTTATGATATAAATTATTAATTTATCATTTTTATTATATTCTAGGAATACGTAATAATACGAATGACCATTGGCAGATGATCTTTTTATAGTAATATGTAGCATGCTCTCAATTATTTGCCTTTAATTATAATAAAATAACAACTTAATTTTCATCGAAAAGAGAAATAATGCAATATTTCATATGTCCACTTTCATTCATTTACCTGCATTTAAAATTGTGTACCTACAAATATTAAAAAGAGATTACACATCAACTGATTCTTGCTTGTATTAATTGATGTCAAATAAAGTTATTTCGATATTGACATATCATATTTATTTAAAGCATCCTGTATGACAAAGGGTCTATTTATTTAATCTGAACTCTAAATGAAGCTCCGTAAGTGGTATATTTATATGTCGTTTGGCACAATACAGGGATATGGAGCATATTTTTGAAGAGTTGTGTATTTTTAGTCGAATATTAAAAATGTGTTATGTATGGAATGAAGGACGCAGACCGGTGACTGGGGTATATAGGCAAGTCGAATGAATTAGTAACTTTGCTTAAGTTGTTTGTTCTAATTATTCTAACATAAATAAATTTACTTATGTATTTTTTGGTTTAACTTTTATCCATTTTAGGGAAATTGGAGATTAAAAAGAAACAAAAAGCAACCTATGTCATCTCTTTAACTATCTTCGCTTAAAAAAACAAGTCAATACCTCGCTCTGTTTTGAGTTTACGACGGACAATAAACCAGATACACACTTTCGCATTTGAAACATTAGTATATATTAGAACCTATACAATATAATAATAAGTTGAAAGTTGCCAAGGTAGCCGCCATGACCACTTAAACCTTCAAACGGACTCTCAGACGTCGTCAACCAGTCTGGCGTTTAATAACCGTAAAAAGAGCAAGATTTTACGAAACGAAAATACGTTACCGAAAAAACTTCACTTAAAAATTACAGACTAAAATTCTTTTAGCATTTTTAGCCACTTTAGAGGTCAGGCGACCGGCTGCTGTGTTAAGGGTTGCAGGTTCAAACGTTTGTGTGAAAATGGAAAATATTTTACTTTACGGAACAGGAGAAAATCTTCACATGGGATTGGGATATGGTGCATGGCATATGTGGTCGTGGTGGCCCGGAGGTATGTACCTCTACTTTCTAAGATTATTTAGACACTAATGACAAACGGTGAAGGGAAACTTTGTGAGGTAACCTGGGCCACCAACACGCATTGAGCAAGCGTGTCGATTATTGCTCAAACTGTATAGGCTGGGTAGGCTATGACATGGGATTCCCGAAACTGAACGGTATATATTAAAACTTACATAGTAATTAATTATTATATTTCCGGCTTTCTCACGTAACTGTTTGGTATGGAACTCGACTAGTTTCTCGTGCGTCGTGGGTCGCGGAATGCTGCTCATGAATATGAACCTCTAGCGTGGCTTGAAACTAGTCGAGTTCCTTACCAAACACTTACGTGAGAAATCCGGAAATATAATAAATAATTATACGGTATCTTAATATACTTAAACGTAACTAGTTTTCAATTCCAAAACAGAGGTTCTGTTTGTCTATTTCAATTGTCTATTTTAAGGGTCTAAATAGAGTAACAACAAAGGCCTGCCATGTGATTGACTTCAAACAACGTGCCCGTACATTCTGTCCGTGACATCTGTTGTGATGCGCAATGCTTTGATAAAACTGGGAGATGGGGCAACTAGCTGTGTAATGTAATGATCAGTTTTCTTTGGCATAAGCCCGTAAACGAACAAACGGACCACCTGATGGTAAGCAATGCGCATCAGAAAACCAGAGGCGTTACAAGTGCGTTACCGGCCTTTTGGGTATTAGGACTTTGAGGATCGTTGGAGATTCAGGGATTAGGGAGAATGGGGGAGGGGAGGGGGTAATTGGGCCTCCGGTAACCTCACACGATGAAACTTAACGCAAGCGTTACTTCACGTCGGTTTGTGTGAGGCCTTGGTATCACTCCGGTCGAGCGGGCACCTTCGTGTCGAACATGGCTCGCCCACACTTACTACTATTTAAATAGAAAAATAGAATTTTCTGCGTATGGGATTGACATTGACATGTCAAAAATATAGGTCAAGTTCATACATCGATAATACTCTCGACAGGTTATCGCTTTTCTTTCACTCTAGGAAAACATTGCGTCGTTTTCCTGTATCGGGGATGTGTTTACAAATATACAATTTCACACAGTAAAGCCAAACCTGAAACAATCATAATTTATGGAATAATACAAAGAATTGTTCCGTGTGGGACTCGAACCAGCGACAATGTAACCGATTCAACCGCCCATCCACCACGCTATACGTGCAATCATAACCGTGTCTAAGTGTCATTTGATCCACACTATTGATTACTTCTATGTATCTATTAATACAGGTATAATAGGCGGCCATTAAACCACGCATTTAATATTATAATTAACGACAAACTAATTACGGTACTTATCTAGCAACTTGGTTTCGCAGTAATTACATATGTGTATTATATGTATCTCCTACTAATCATAGCCCGTGCCGTCGTTGTACACCTACATGAAAAGTTTTTCTATGACAATTAGAAATTATAGATACGGTAATCTTCACTCTAGTTAGTTTTAGGCATAATTTTCTGGTATTTCAAAGGTAATTAAAAGATTGGAAGACAGAAATCTTTATCTAATTTTGAAAATCATAACTTTCAGAAAGGTGATTCATCCTCTTAAGAAAACATAACCATGGGTCCAATCTATAATTATGTAGTGCTATCGCAACTAACTTATTGTACTTATAATATGCTCATACTAATGTCAAAAAGTTTTTATTTGTTTGTAAAAGAGTAATGTTTTTACTGGACTGCATTGGCCGAGTGGTCGCAAGTGCGACTGCCGGAGAAGAGGTCTCGGATTCGATTCTCGGGTCGGGCAAAGCATTAATGTTTTTTTTAATTCTCAATAGTAGCATGGAGTCTGAAATTGGGCCCGGTATATGGCTAATAGGCTCACTCTCTTTTACATGGGACTCATGACATAAATAGTGAAAAGTGGGTGTAACATTGTACAGTGGCATTAAGTGCCGTAATGTGCCGCTCAGCCTGCCCCTTCGGGGGTAAAAGACGTGATGTTATGTATAAAAGAGTAATGTTATTGCCACAAATGTAAATATAGATAAACCATCAATCATGAGAACTGTTGCCCATAATGTTCAGCAGACAATGGAACATGAAATGGTTTGACGTTCGACCCTATCATATGTGTTCCACATTTTTCTCATTCATCAATCTCTTCATGTCTGTCCGCTGATTATGGAGACTTTTAATTTAGCCCTTTTTCAAAAACATGGCGTGGGCTTTTAATATTCTGCTGTGGCGGCACAGGCTTTCACTTTGACGGAGGGTTCAGGCCTAAATCCATTACCATACGACCTATATACACTTACTTAGGTGTGTCTATCTTCGTGATATTTGACAAAGGGAAACAAATAATTTAGTTAAATTAAGAACTGTTTGTATAAATACCAATCAGTGACATGACAATTAATACGCCGATCATAGATAACTAGTTTTAATTCTAAGATTTTTTAAGAATATAAATAAATTGTGATATTTTTAGTACCGTACACTTGACCATACATAGAATTATAAAAATATTATTAAAATATTTTATATTTTATTATAATTACTAATCCTTCTTGCAATGTCTGTAAAAGGGAGGCCTTTAAGTTGCAAGTGCACATTTTAGTTTAAACCTTTTGTGCACATAGTAAGCAAATAAACGTGTGTGGTGGTGGCTCGGAGGTTAAGACGCCTGCTTCAAGCTACTTCTCATGAATAAGGATACCGTTTCAAAACCTACCAACGGCAAGTATCAATGTGACTTTTTCCGAGTTATATGTACTTTCTAAGATTATCTAGACTCCACTGGCAACGGTGAAGAAAAACATCGTGACGAAACCAGGACTTATAATTTCTAATTATAAGTTCGAAATCGCCAACCCGCATTGAGCAAGCTTGGTGATTAATCCTCAAACCTTCTCCGTGTGAGAAGAGGCTTGGGTCTGTAGTGGGCACTTATAGGCTGTTGATGATGAAACAAATAAACGTTTAGACTTTGACTAATTATTAGACGCAAATATCGAAATCTATACTCTATGTAACTATCGTAATATCGCAAGAAAGTTCCAAATTGTGGGAACAGGTCATGAAAAAACTGCATCAAGAAGTAACGGGACGACAAACAGGTCCAATTATAAGTACTTACCTCCGGCTAGGAAGCCGAAAAACTTAATTTTCCTTTTCGGGGGTTGATCTGCAACAAAAGAAAGGTTCTAATTAATTGGGTGAGCACGTGAGTCGAGTTAGTTTCTTACTTTTTGTACCTATACTTTCCTCAAGACGTCGACTACTTAACTAACTATATCATCTCGCTTGTTTTTACTTACAGACATATTTAATTCAGTTATGTTGTTCTACTAAACGTTTTTCGGTCCTAACACTAACTAGATAAGTAATCTGTTACTTATTATATAAAGCTGAAGGGTTTGTTTGTCTGTTTGAACGCGCTTATCTCAAGAACTTGAAGAATTATTTTCATCTTGGACAGTCTGTTTATGGAGGAAGGGTGTAAGCATTAAAACATACGCGCTACGGTTATTAAGAATCGAGTATAAGGAGGATCAGGATTACAACTTATGATTTCAGTAAAGACTCAAAAATAAAAATACATTACGTCATGTTTTTCAAATAGAAATAAAAATGAGCATACAATTTTATCCAACCACCGTTCAGGGGAAGAAATTAATATTTCGTGTATTGTGTGATAAATAAACAAATACCTTTTATTTAAATAACCTGAGAACGAACCCACGAAGAGGTTTAATTTTAAAATGAAACATGTTGTTAACCACTGGAGAACGAATTGTAATGTTTTAATATTATTCATAACGAAGTATGAAACCAAATGAACTTAATTATGTATTAACTAAAGAGACCCGTATTTGTACTTACAAATACATGATGCATAAAACGCCAAGTTTTTCCTGAAGCCTGGATGCAGAGAGAGTAAGTATCTACTTTTTGTTAGGACAAACAAACAATTGATTAAAAACAACACCAATTTTTGTTTGCTGTTAACTTAAACTTAAAATTTTCATCTCAAGTAATAACAAAAAATTATGTTCGGAACCCAAGAGTAATTTATTAGATTAGTTTGCTCATTCCAATTAAGGTACCATCGATGACTTAGGGAGAACAGTGTTTCGGCTATCATTGAGAAGATTAAATTAATAAGCTTACAGATAATTATTTATCCCACCTAAAGCAAATTAGAAAAAACCCAATTCAATTACAAAAACATAAAGAAAAATATCGCCATTTTAATACCGTTCTAATTAATCCGATTATCGAAAAAGGAGCTTTGTTCAAGTAGGTACATCGTGAAATTACGAAATTATTATCTTTTAAGCTACAAAATCAATATCCATCTAAATATTATTATATACTTTTAAAATTAATCGGATTAATCTCCGTTCTATCGACGTTTGCCGTTAATTTCAGAGTTCCGCTAAGAAAATCGGGAAACGAACTTAATTTGTCACTGACAGAGAGAAATGCAACGCCTCAATGGTTCTGCCGATTAAATTCCGTTTTGCCGCGCAAAAAGTCCAGTTCATTTTTTCTCTGGCGAAATTGCTGGCTTTGTGCGAGTTGGCGATTATATTCTGTTTATTAATATGGCTGCAATCTATTAAATAAGAAAAATGCCATATTGTGTGGTGGTTGTTTAATTAAAAACTTTATGTTTATTTTCTTAAGCTTGTTTTTGACATAACTTGATGGTATTCCAAATGCTGTGGATTTTTTTTACATCCATTTGACCAAAGTCACCAATATAACATCATCATGATCAACAGATAAGCCCACTGCTGACCAAAGGCCTCTTCTCGCACGGAGAAGGTTTGAGCATTAATCACCACGCTTGCTCAATGCGGCTTGGCGATTCAAGGTCACCAATATACACGTTTGATTCCCTAAAGTATTATCAAGTGTGCCCAAAGTTCCACCCACTTTCGTAAGTGATGACGGGTCTATTGCCTACGGACACATTTCAGAACTACGTGCCCTCACTTAGAATTTCCTAATAAAAATCCTATCGTATTTGTCACTAAACATCATCTTCCAGTGGTTGTAGAAACACAAGTCAAAGAAACAATTAACCATTGTAATAAAATTGTAGTTAAACAAAAATTAGTCACATAATGTTAGCTACTGGACTAAAATTGCTAATAATTAGTTTAAGGTTATTATTATGATTACTACTAAGGTTTTGTGCCTTATCGTCGCCAAAGTTTAAAAATAAAACATCGGTTCACCATGTCCCCGTACAACGCATGAACTATCAAACTGTGTTATAAAATTGAATGGAATTTGCTTATACGCCGAATATGTGCTAAGCTACTATGTTGCTTACTGAAAAAAAGGGTCTATCATTTACATGGTAGGTACCACACGACACGTCGCAGTTCACAGGACAATTAAAATGCTGAACATCAGTTCGGGGACAGCAAAAACCAGTTGTTAGTGTTTTGTTTATGTGACTGACGACCTATTGTTATTTACCGTCGTATTGTAAATACTGAATCAACTTTTACCCATTGTCATTACTTGCTGTTGCAGTTTTTTAAACGTGATTAGTGTTTAGATAAACTTGGGCTTATCGTTACATGATAGGTGTTAGAAAATATTCAAATATTACCTTTTTGTATTTTCTAAAAACAATTCATTGTGTCTTCATTATGTAAGTATGTATATGCATATTTTAGATTTATTAATATCATCGAAACCATATCATGCTTGCAAATAATATAACTAGTATTTAAAAAAGAAGCTACGACCGCGTTTCTTAAACCCCTTTATCTCTCTTCTCGCATTAAAGTAAGGTAAAAAAGAAGTCCATAACAAATTCCCAATTCAATTGAAACAAAGGCCGTGTTATACACTCGAGTGTAGTTTGTAGTATCGAGTGACGAGTGTCATTGTTTACGTATCAGACCCTTCCCTGCCTCGGACATCACGTAGCGAGCCCTGCCCTGTGGCACCCGCCGCCGCCCGACGCCCGCCGTCCGCCGTCCGCCGACGAACACATTGACAGCCCCAACCGGACAGCTAGCACGATGAAAATGGCTGACATTTGCTTTTAATAGAACTCGTAACTCTCTATTGCACAGAACATAAAAGCATTTACACTTAAAATATTCGCTGTTTTTCAACAAGCATTTCTTTCATCAATATTTAACAATAATACATTTCAATCAAAATAATCTTTCCTAGGCTTCTTATTTATTCAATCTCAGGTACCTACTGAAACTTGATAACAAAAGCTATTCCAGTTTATTTGTTTCCCAAGAAAATGAAACAGAAATCCAGTTAGCCGGCTCCATCTTGGCTTTTAATTTGTAGATAAAATTGTTTTGGATAAAAATTAGTAATTTGCCGACTGTTAGGCTGATTTTAATCTTGAAATTCGGACAGACTGTTAGGTCGGTTCGGTCAGCGTTACCGATAAGTGTGCTGAGGTCCTGACTAGCACAAGGGTTGAAACACACGCCCTTTTTTTTTGTTGATTACATTTGATCATGATTAAGTACTTCATGTCTTTGAAACGTGACGCTTGTCAACATCACGCATGATTAATAAGTAGGTATACTTGGATGCATAACTACTTGTACTATTACAGGGTCGACGCAAAATTTGAATCATTTCACCAAAATATAAAAATGTAACTTCGGAATCGCGCATAACCTCTGGCGACAACATAAAACTGGATAATTAATTTTTTCCTCGTGTTCATTAATTACACGACATTTTTACGTTATGTAAGGAAAATGTTGGTTTATGAGGAAAGTTGGGGAACAGTAACCGTGTGAAGTCGGGGCAAACTGTTAGTGCTAGTTTAATATAATTTTAACACAGTTATTAAACAACCGTTGTTTGCTAATGTAGCGCAAAGTTGATAGGCGAGATATTATCAAATTAAGAGAAGTATTTACTGCTTGTTACATATATTATAGTATTAGAAAGTTTTAGACGATTTCTATGAATATAAACAATGAATAAACTCCACTATACTTAATGCTAAAATTGTAGTATTCGGAGAAATAATCCCGGTGAACAATTTTGTGGCATTAGTAGTAGTGTTTAGTACAATGGGTAGTGGTGTAGGTATTACAAGTGAAATGTTAAATGTGAATAACAGTAATTCCTTCCCATTGTTCCGAAAATTCCGGTAATCTCTGAGATTTACAGCAATACTATTGTACTTTAAACTGTTCGAGTATCCAACGTTGTGGTTACATGCAGATAATAGTGGGATTAATATTTTACAGAGCCGATAAGTGGCTCATTTATTGTTGATATTGTTTATTTAAACAGCAGATTTATATTAATATAGTTATTGAAATTTCCTAAACAATGCTGTGTCAGTACTAAATGCGTCAATCTCAGTAAACTTTGTTTTCTATAACCATTATGGTATTGGCTAAATAATAGTCCTACATGAACTTTCTGTATATTTGTTACCTAAAACTGTGTAGATAATATGAAGCTTCCAGAATTAGGTACCTTGAGTTGGAAGCAAACGCAAACGGAGGAACATCAAGCGTCACTCTAATAATGTACCATTAAAGATAGATGACGACGTCAAAGCGTCCGTCAAACCGAATTACAACAAACGTCAATTAGGATATTGACACAGAGCCTAGTGACCCGTGTGGACCGGCTCTTACAATCGAATCAACATTGTTAAGTACATAGACTTATATATAACTATACATAACGCCTCGTGGCCGCCACAAAGCTTTTCTTTACACTTTGTTGGTAACTACCATACGATTCGTGAGTTTGTGTGATCGGCCGCAAAACTAGCATACGTTGACTCAATTTTTAGATTGGTAGCAATAAATTGCCAAAACGATGATGTAAAATTGTTTTAAAATTTTGTAGATGCATTAATATTATGATTCCGTGATTAAGACTATGAATAACCTACCTATAATATTAATAAACGTATCACAACTAGAAAGTAACAAAAATAACAAGTTGCAGAACTCAGCCCATTACAGATATATGATAAAAACATCACAAAGTAAACTTTCCAGACGATAGAACATTCGAGTGAGTGTCGTGAGGATTATTGATGTATTAAGAGCGAGCCTGTGAATATGTTAGCCGCACGGTTCTCTCTCAGTAAATCAATGAGGCGGTTAAAAGTACACACCAACTCCGGCCGTGGCTTTCACACGATTTAATTTAATTGCAATTGTTTTCACACTCTACGCCACTTTAAGGTAAATTACTTGGAAAGGAATTTACCGCCACTGACATAAATCCGGGTGAATCGCTCCACTGTTCCGCTCAAGACAACGTTATAACCCGGGACACTGAACAGAAACTGAGTTGTCGTATTTATTATGACAGCTTTCTTGCTTACAGTGTACCAATAACTATTTTATGTACTACCTCTCGAGAGAATATCTTATCGCAATAACATGTTTATCAGCGGTAGGTCGAGGTGATAACCTTCAACTGACAATGATTGGAGTAACTTTCCCACACAAATTCTAGGATCCAAGCGCATTTTAACTTGTGACATTATTACGTGTGATTTCCTAGCACCATTCACTTGACCTGTTTTAGAATGTAATAAACCAACCGCCTTCATAGCAGCGTTAAACAAATCTCCGAGCATGCAAATTTAATTTAGTATGAACCAGGAAAATGGATTACAGTATTTGCATAGTGTTGTTAGTAGACTTGTTCCTTTCTGAGTGACGTACGTTCGTATAAGACTGAACGCGTTGTCCCATATTTCAAGGTGGCTTTCGACGTAAAATTGCAATATTCCTCTGCTTGCAAAGTAATGAATAATTAATAGGAGATAATTTATTCCGCGCTCAGTGTGCACGGTCCAGTAGGAGTGACAACAGAGTGCCTCGCTCCCGATGAGTGAGAGGACCGATCGATCGCTAACACAAGGACAATTGGGGACAAACTCTATTCATCTATAGACATGAATAATCTATGGACATCATAATTTATCCATTCTTACGTAAATACCAGATAACTTATTGCTCCAAGTTTCTGTGTGCTGAAATGTAAGAAGTCATACATAATATATTGCTACTATTGTTATTGGTTGCGTGTGTAGGCAGACAGGGGTGTATCTACTGTACCTATATCACTTTTTTTTGCAGTTGAAGTATTAGTCTTATCTGGTAAGCAGCGTATCCGTAACTCCATAATTATGAATAATTATATTAAATCCATAACCTAATGACGAGTTATGCGCGTCATGACTATAATTCTCATAGACTCAGTACATTATAAAACTGTACATAATATACATAAAAATATTCCCCAGTACTTAAATACCTGACGCAAAAATAATTAAGTTACTCGTATGTGGATAGTTACGTGTAGTCATAATTTCGTAATAATTATTATTTCCCCGGAACCTCCCGATAAGGCACGATAGATCTTTTTAAACCGCAATAAATTTTACAGCAAAATGCAGAGGGAAGTGCTTTTACGTTCAAATAAATCACGATATCTTGGAAAATGAGATATATTCTCATTCTACATCATTTTGCACATTCTGATACTATATTTTCGAGACTTACTCTATTATAATTTACAGGTTTGGCTTAGTTTGGAAGCAATAATTTTGGTTACATTTATGATATCTCGAGTTTACCAAATTTTACCTTCAAGAAAACA